TAGATATTACAGCAGATGTTCTTGAGCATAATTGAATTACACCATTGATTAAAAAAGAAACAGAGCAGTGGCGAGACAATTAGGGCACTCTAGAACATACCCAAGAATAAATAATATGATAGAGATGAGTGTTAAAGAAACATACCTTAAAGATCTCAACTGGAAGCAAGGGACGATGAAGAAGATGAAGAAGACGGGAGAGGATACGGACGGTCAGCGAAGGACGGAAGGAGGATGAAAGGAGTTTTTATAATCTTGTACTTTTGGGTGAGATTTCAGAATGAATTTATATTTATACCCAATGCTAAACAATCCATCAAAATCCACCTTCTTAAAATTTTTTAAAAGTTTATCAAATTTTTGAATACCATCATATTTAGAAGGATTTTTTAAAATCTCAATTGAATACATCCAGATTTTAAATGACTTTTTTAAATCTGAATTGAATACCTACAGACTTTCAGAATCCAAAAAAATCCTTCAGAATCCTGATTGAATACACCGCCCTTACTCTTTAATTTATTTGGTTAAATTGTACGGAGTATAATATATTGACTATAAATGATGGAAAAAGTATATATACTAATAATATAAATTAAATAAAATATGTTGATTTCAAGATATATTGTTGATATATCAAATTTTTCTAACATTTAATTATTTAAAATTATTTTTAATTTATGATTAAGGCATTGTACCGTTTGACTTTTATTTTTCTAGCAACGTGGGAGTAATATCGAATATGCCGATGCGAAGTAACATCAAAAGACCCCCACCTAACCTTCTTCCATCAATCCCTAATATTTCGCCAATTCCTTTTAAAATCTCCAAACAGTACACAGAAATATCCCATGATTTCCACAAGGGCATTTCCTCTGGCTCTGACCTCCGATTGTGGAATTCCCCGTTCATCCACATCCAGGTACTTCATTTCAAAACGCATCAATCTTCACTTGTTTGCTGGATTTGACTTCCGCGGATTTTCATATATGTGTGTTGAAATTGAATATGAGTGAGAAATGTTTGTGGAATTTTCTCCTGAATCCGTGCTCGCCGGAGCTATGATCGTCTTCGCCGGATTTCGTTCTCAGTCTGTCCGGATCCGTCTTGCCGGAAGCAATATTATTGAACACAGTTTGTGCCTTAATTACATCTACTCTGGTTATACGTATATGTGTTTTACTGGTTTGGTGATTTATATTGCTTCCAGTAAATAGCTGGTGGTGGTGTACTGTTGCTTCCACTGCCCGCTAGCCTCATAATATCACAGTTTACATACCTATGATCTACCATACCGACTTTCTACAATATGTTCTTAAACATTAAGTAATTCTTGCTCCAGTTATCCATATATGGAAAACAAAATGATCTTCCCATTCTTCAGTAAAAAGTTCTGATTCAGAAATACAATTACACAAATGCTACCCTAGAGCATTATTTTTAAGTTCAATGAGTAGGGTAATTCATACTTTGCACCCCTAGAAAGAGAATAATTATCACTTTGTACACTTAGGCCCTGTTTTTTGGGTTGGAATTTTATAGTTAGATGTTGGAATAAACTAGACGGAGTTAGAAGAAACTGGAAGGAGCTGGAAAAAACTGGAAGGATTTGCAAAATGTTAGAAGAATTAAAGTGTTAAAAAGTCACTCAATTAAATGATCACCCAAATAAATATGTTAGAAAACTCTAATTCTGAATAAAAAATATTCATCCTTGTCCGTGTTTGAGTTGGTATATTTTAAATTTGGATATAAAATGTCATTCTATATTCATCACATATAAATACCTTTCTCAAGTCGTTGCTGGAAGAAATTGGAAAGAGCTAGAACGAAACGGGAACGAGTTGGAAAAAAGTTGGAAGTTAATTTTTCCAATCCAAAAGAATAGGGTCTTAGAAAGTAGAAATCATCAAATGCACCATACAAATACTATAACAATCCAAATTGCACCCTCAAACTTATGAAGGGATGTTTGGCAAAAATGTGAGAAGTTAGAAATAGCATATTGAAAAGGCCATCTAACGAAAACGTTTAGCTTTAGCCTTTTCAAAGTTAATCTAAATGATTAAAAATTTATCCAAAACGCTAAAACTAATAAAAAATGCAGTTCCCGAACAAGGCCTAAAACAATCTAATGTGTGCCTCAAAAAGTTTAAAACGCTAAGTGCACCCTCAACAACTTTTTGTTCCAACTATTTTTTTGAAACTATAAAAGCCACCTTCAATTCGATGCGAATTTTCGCTGAGCATTTCTTTTCACTCCAAAACTTCAAACAAAGTCAATTGTGTATTGTGACCACAACATAAGAGTTGAGCGTGACTGGAGCTTTTCACGTAGCAAAAAGATTCTAGCATAGGGTTTGGAGAGAAAAGGGAGTGGTTAGAAAAATAATATTTGGCTTGAATTATTTTTAAACTTTTTGCATGAAAGCAGATAAAAGGTGAGGGTGCAAAATGATAATAATTCCCTGTTTAAGGATGTTAATTGTGAATTGCTCCGATAGGTATTTGCTTCGTTCTTCAATATATACATTTTTGTGTATATGAATAGATATATGTGTAATTGGAGATTCCCTACCTATTTAGAGCTTTGTTTTAAAAGATAAATCTTATAATAGCACAAACATTCACTAGCATTCCTTCACAACTACACAAGAACTTCAATACTTTTTGTGATTCCACTGCTTAAATTTTCTGTGTTTACCACTGCATCCAACTTCTTGTGATACAGCGTCAAGCCATTCAACTTCAAGTCATTATGAACTTCATCATAAAATTTTCTTTCACTTCTAAACACGCCACTACCACACAAATGTACTTTCTTAAAAATCCTGCCAAGTCAATACGGGAAGTTAATTATAGGAGGGAGGGTGTATAATTTTTAATACGTCTCTCACAAATTGCTCAAGCTGGTGATAACACTCAAAGCATGATTTGCATAGCTATTTTATTGTTACAAACTACAAAGTGCATTTTAAGCAATTACCTTCACTAATTTATTTTAATTTAAGATTCTGTGTCTTATATAAGTTTGATACTCCCTCCGTTCTCAAAAACACTTCCTCTTTCATTTTTTTCACTTCCAACAAAACACTTCCACTTTCTATTAAAAAACCACTTTTACCCTTATTTTTTCATACCATACCTATCACATCATACTTTTTCTCTAATAATCTATCCATAACTATAATTTAACACTTCCTTATTTTGGCTTCAAGTCAAAATAGGAAGCCTTTTTGCAAACGGAGGGAGTAGAACTATTCATAATTGTTCTTGTTTAGTAGGGCCAGTGATTCTCAGCAGCTAGTTTTTCATGCATTATAATAATGTTTTGTTTATTTATTTATTTTATTATTTAATTATTTATTTCCGTCCCTGAAAAAAATTCATGTTTTCCTTCTTTGGATCTCCCAAAATAATTGTCCCATTCCATTTAAGGAATGCTTTTAGCGGTTCACATTGTTTCTCTCCCTCCTTTGCATAAACCTCCACCATACAATTTTACTTTTTCTTAAACTCTCAAACTAAAACATTTTTAGGGATGGAGGGAGTGTTTATTTATTTACTTATTCATTCATTCATTATTCTGATATCTGGCTGTTCTTACCTGCTGTATAGAGCATCAAAGAACTTGAACTTATTGAAAGGTGGAATTCAGCATCCAACCAAGGGGGTTTCTTTTAGGTCTCTCATTCCGTTGAACCGCAAAGAATCCTTCTGTACTGAATGGGATGGTAGAACTAGACATGCTTTGCTATCAGGTCACGGCGATTCTTCTCCATCTCATCTCAATGGATCAATAGTTAGTGATCTGGCCACTGGAACCGAGATACAACCAAATTTTGGAACACTTGTGCCAGATTTCGTCCCTACACCAAGTGGCTTTCCAGCTCATGTTGATGAATATGATTTGGACCGTCCCACAGAAGGGTTTTCATCAATCCCTGATGCCATTGAAGACATTCGTCAGGGGAAGGTTGGCTTCTAAGACTTGAAGTGTGTTGGGATGAATTACGTACTAACAATAAGCGCTCTTTAATTTTTATAGGAAAAAAAGTATTACTTTCAAAAGAAGTATTAGGCAGGGAAGTGAGATACTGCTTTTAATTTTTGAAGTAACTCTTTTATGCTTATTTAAAGATCACCAAATTGGAGATCTTTGAAGAAAGGCATTTTAAGTGATTTAATTAGAAAGCACTTATAACATAAGTCATCACCAAAATGCTTTATCATATGGTATAATTACTTTTAACATACATGATTTCTTTGGAAACAACCCCTCTACATTTTAAACATAGGGTCTTGTACATCGAACCCCACTTACCCCGCAATCGGCGGGAGCCTTTGAGCCATTGGGGTAATTTTCTTTTATTGTTGCTTTCTCATTTAAGAACGTAGTGGGCTTTTTTAAAACAATGCCAGCATACTGTTTTCTTAAATAAACATTGGAATTGTTTTAATTAATGGTAATGGAACTAACACTTTTCTGTTTTCTTGCCAAACTCTTCTTTTTAAAGAAGTACTCTCCCTCCAAAAACACCCATTCCTTGAAAATACATCATTTCAAATGCACTCTCAATCTTTTGCTTTCTTAAATAAGGAATTACAGTTGCTTTTTGTTTTCCTTCAAATCACTTCTTTTTTAGGTAAACGATTTTTCTTTGTGCAAAGAGCATTTATTCATTGAAACCAATTCATTTCTAATGGACTCATAATCTTTTCTTCACTTTTTTTTGTTCCTTTGCATAATGGATTTATCGATTGTACAGATGGTACTTGTTGTGGATGATGAGAGCAGAGAAAATGAAGGAGATCTTATAATTGCTGCATCTAAAGTTACACCAGAAGTAATGGCCTTTATTGTAAGACATGGGACTGGAATTGTGTGTGTGAGTATGGTGGAGGAAGATTTGGAGAGGTTACAGATTCCCTTGATGGTAAATCACAAGGATAATGAGGAGAAACTTCGTACTGCATTCACGGTTTCAGTGGTATGTACGATGTCATTCTCACTTTTGATGTTAGCGCTGCTCTAAAAACGCTATGTGCGAAGCCGGTGACAGAATAGGGTTGGGTGCTAGGCAGGGTATGGGGCCCAGACCACCCACGTTCAATCCAATTTTTTTTTTTGAGTTCTTAATGACTAGGGGCCCAAAGATGGCATTGTGTGTGTGTGTGTGTGTGTGTGTGTGAGTTCTTAATGACTTAGGGACCATATTGGAGTTTTTTAAAGCATAGATAATATTATTGATCTCATCTTCCTTTCCCCGCCATTTTCCTATCGAATTCTATATTACAGCTGAGTAAGTCTACTTCTATAAAAATGCAATTATTACGGTATAGTTTTTTTTAGGATGCAAAACATGGAACAACTACCGGAGTGTCAGCTCATGATAGAGCAACAACAATATTGGCTCTTGCATCAAAAGGTTCTGTGCCTCAGGATTTCAACAGACCTGGTCATATATTTCCCCTGAAGTACCAAAAAGGTGGGGTCCTAAAAAGAGCTGGGCATACAGAAGCTGCTGTTGATCTTGCAATGCTAGCTGGGTTAGAACCGGTTGGCGTTCTGTGCGAGGTTGTGGATGATGATGGTTCTATGGCTAGGTTACCTAAGCTTCAACAATTTGCACAGACTAATGGAATAAAAATTATATCTATTGCCGATTTAATCAGGTTGGTCAAGTATATATTTTTTATGATCCTTATATGATATAACTGTGTTATAGCGTATGCCAAATTGCAATTCCATTGGTGAGTTAAATCATGTATGTTTCATGCTATTTCTAACAATGTCGCTAGTGTATCAAAGTAGTACTCTTATGGCACGTTTGGTACACGGAGAGTAATATATGCGAAATAGAGTTTGATTTCCATGAGAAAGGATAAAATGGGAGTCATCATTCCACTGTGGGTAATGATGAAATTACCCAAATATGGAGTATTCTGTTGTTTGGTGTGCTTTTCACTAAAGATAGAGGAATGAATACTAATGAGGACTAGGCTTGTGTTTTTTAAAGGTCTTGCAGCTAAAAGGTATTCCGAGGTGAAATTTTCCTGTCATACCACATTTCATTTTCTCTGACTTTTGGAATTATGGGCAAAGGGAAAGTTGTTCCTGTGTACCTAACAGGCCACTATAATATAGTTTGAGTCACGCCAATAAAGCCCTTACTGATATTTCTCTATATGTGTAGATATAGGAGAAAAAGGGACAAATTAGTGGAACATTCTTCTGCTGCAAAGATACCAACCATGTGGGGCCCATTCACTGCCCACTGTTACAAATCAATCATAGATGGGATTGAACACATTGCAATGGTCAAGGTGAGTTCTTTTGGTTTCTCTGCTTGTGAAATTACTCCAGATCAGTTTGTGTTTACCATAATTCAGCCTAAAAAGTAATTACTGTTGTACGGAGTATTTTGTTTCATTATTAGCCAATTCAGCCGACACAATCAAATAAAATAAGTGTTTGGTGAAACCCTATCTGATAAGGGAAAACCAAATGCAAAAAACTACAGAGGGCAGCAAACGTTTTGGCCACAAAAGCCGCGTTCTATGAACATGATTATGGGGCAAACCAAACATGCTATAATTTGATTGGATATATCAAAAGTGAAAAACTAACTTGTAACTATGCCTGGGAATAGGGTGAGATCGGGAGCGGGCAAGATATTCTTGTTCGGGTGCACTCGGAGTGCCTCACTGGGGACATATTTGGTTCAGCTAGATGCGATTGTGGGAACCAGTTGGCACTTGCAATGCAACAGATTGAGGCAGCTGGAAGGGGGGTTTTGGTTTACCTCCGTGGTCACGAAGGAAGAGGAATCGGGCTGGGCCACAAACTTCGGGCCTACAATTTGCAGGATGCAGGGCGTGACACGGTTGAAGCAAACGAAGAACTTGGTTTACCGGTTGATTCAAGGGAATATGGAATTGGTGCCCAGGTAATTGCTGCCTTTGCTTTCCATAACCTGTGCTCTTCTCTGTGTCATGTTATCTCTTTCCCGATATCTATTTTTTAAATATCTAATCATACTTAATTTCCAAGTCTTTCTGTAATAGGAAAATTTTGAAAGGAGTTTGATACCTTGATCTAACATTGAAGTAAGGGCATGTTTGGCAATAGATTCAACATTTAGCTTTATCGTTTTGAAAAGACCATCTAACGGCAACATTGAGCTTTAGGGTTTTAAAAGTTAATCGTCACCGTAAAAAAATTATCTCCGAATTTTTTTTCCTTTCAAGTATCATGTTCATTTTCCTCCACACTTTCTTTCCCTGGTGTGTTCTGTCACTTCTGTGTTTCAAATGGATGCTAAGGGTGTGTTTGGATTACAGAAGATGCTATTGGAATTTGGAAGTAATTGTGTTGTGTTTGGCTCTGTGTTGAATAATGCAAAGGGAAAATCAGATATGATTTATGAAGTTTTTACTTTTATTCACACTATGTTTGGGTTAAGGAATTTGAAAGGGAAAAGAAAATGAAAGGAAAAATATTTTTTCATGTTTGGTTAATAAAATGAGAAGGCAAAATTACTGAGGTAAAATCAAATTCCTCCCATTTTGGTGAGGGAAATGAGAGAAAACAATTTTCTTTTCTTTTCCTTCCAAATTTGAAATTCCTTGAACCAAACATCCTGTTAGGTTTCTTAGTTTTCATATAATACAACTATGGCCTTATATCCCAAGTAACTTGGGGTTGGCTACATGAACCGGGAGGAGAATCAGGCTCGATCATTACATAAATAAATGAGATGGTTTGAAAAAATACATAATTAAATTTATTTTTCCTCTAAATTTCTTCCAATTTTCTATTCTCTGGCAAGGGTATTTTGACATTGGGAAAAATGGCCTTAAAATGAAGCGGACACCTAGGGGTTTCGTTGGTAAAATTGATTATTCCTACCCCTGCACCCTCTTAGATTGTTGATTTGGGGCTGCCAAATCGACGATCTAGGGGAATAGAAACCATCAATTTTACCAACAGAGCACTGTAAGTGCTGGGGTCATTTAAAGGTCAAAACAGCCTGGGTAAAAAAAAACTGTTATGTTTATTTACTATATTTCTCTTCATTTGCCTCCCCTAGTATACCCCGGGTCCCAAACGGATCCTAATGAGTTAGACTGAAATAGTGACCCTGTGTATGCAGATACTAAGGGATCTCGGAGTAAGGACGATGAAGCTGATGACAAATAACCCTGCAAAATATGTTGGGTTGAAGGGGTATGGTTTGGCAGTTGTGGGAAGGGTACCCCTACTCAGTCCCGTCACAATACACAACAAAAGATACCTGGAAACAAAGCGCGCCAAAATGGGACACATCTATGGTTTGAACTTCGAAGAAGAGCCCGTGACGAACCCGACCATCACAGAAGGCAAAGCAGCGTCGTAGGGGGGGGGGGTACCCTACGGTGTGTTGGTTGGGACCCACTAAACTGATTATTTCTTATTGTTGCTCAATCTTTCGACGCGACGATCCATGCAGAATGCACGAAGAATCGGCAAACCTGTTTGGCTCATAGCCGAAAGACATCAACATAACTGCCTTTTTTACACCCCTGAGTAGGTGTGGGCACACTTTATAAGCACTCCGTATGACTTTCATGTAAAACCAAATGGTTACCATTAAGAATAATTGGTCAGTTATTTTTAAGCGAATGTTCACCTCAATTTATTTTTTTACTTATTACTTATTCTTATTATCAGATCAGAACAACAATAGTTTTAAATATAACTACATTTAGATCAGAATCATTCAGATCAGGTGAAGAGAAAATGACCTAAATAAGAGAAGCATATGTAAAAAAAAAAGGTGGTGTTCTTTGGTATATATCTATGAAGGATTTGTGAGGATGATAACCATTTTTTGTTTTTTTAAAAAGAGTAAATTGTATAATTGATCCTTTATAACATAGGAGTTTTCTTATTTAGTATTCTATTATCAAATATTACCGCGGCATTCCTTTTATGAGTATTTTTTCACAAATAATCTTTTTTCATCTTCTATCATATTTGTATTGAGGCTAAAAGTGTAATTCTAGAATGACAATATATCCTTCTTGTCATACACAATTCCAAAGACCGTTCCTCATTCGTCGTTTGTGAATTGTAGTCGCTTTCTACTAACAAAATAGTCTATAAATGTGGTCTTTCATTGGAATCTTAAACCACAATCATAGTTATTATTTTTTTGTTATCCTTCTAACTAATATCAGAATACGTCACTGAACATATGTTTGACGTCAAATTCTATTTTTAGCCGTTAAATTAACACCAACATTTCAATGTTTTGTTAATGTTAAGTATGGGAAATTTTAGCTCTGGCTTTTTTCTGAGAAACTACCATGTGCCATTTATTTCATTTTTAAACAATTGTTTGTTATTTTGTGAGATATACTCCCTCCGTCCCAGAGTATTTGTCCACTTTCATTTTTACATACCATTTAATGCACTTCTTTAATTCATTTTATCTTGTAATTTGTATATTAAAAAATTATAGAAATTATATATTAATAATCTATATGTTAAGACAAATCAAACAAGCTAGATCACACACGACTTTATTTAGGCTTACACATTGAGAGAATTTGATGAGTCAAAGTGCTTAGATGAACAGTTCCAAAAGTAAAAAGTGGACGAATATAGTGGGACAGAGGTAGTAGTATTTAAATTTTTGAATAGCGAATTAGTTGTTTATTTATATCACACGCATGCGGGAAAAAAGAATAACAAGGTCAGGATGGCCGAGTGGTCTAAGGCGCCAGACCGGTTTTTGAGACCTGCCTTTTGCTTCTCCTTCCAATTCATTGATTTGATTGGAGTCAATACCGATGAATACCATAAAACAAAAAAATAGTGTAATAATTTGTTCAAGTTTACCCCTATAAAAGCACATGTTTGTATATTTGAATATTGGAAATGTAGATGCATTTTCATGGCAAAACAAATAAACATAACACTCTTCAATACTTGAAATTTGCTCCAAGAGTTTTATTCTCTCCATCCTAAATTAAATTGCATGTTTACTATTGATATAGTCAAGCTTCATTCACTTTCTTTCTCTATTTTTGTTTGTAATTTGATAAAATAATATAGTCATGTCACCACTAATTTTGTAAATCTTTTGGTCTAGTTTTTAAATATGTAATTTTTATTTTTTGATTCTACACCATTTTCATATAAAATAATTTGAAAATTATTTCAGTCAAATATCGTAAACTAAAACAAACAATTTAAATTGAGATATAAATCTAAGTAGAGGTAAGGTCTGCGTACACGTATACTGCTGCTGCTCCAAAACTTTGAAACTTCACTTCCTGAATTTGTTTAAGAATCAGAATATCTTTATGAATTTCATCATGCCTCATATGCGTTATGTTTAACACGTGCAATTTTCATGTTCATATTTTTCAATTATCTTAAAATATGAATTGACAATCGATTAATCGTTTCAATTTACCCGAGTAAATAATAATCACAAAAAATAGTACATAGTAGAAAAATATTATACAAAAAAACAGAGATAATATGAACTTTACTTTTTTTTTCTTATAAATAAAAAGAGAACTCATTGGAATGGCAGGAAAAGGAAAGCAAAAAAACATGTAAGAATAGAGGGCTTTTTATTAGAATGTATATCCACAATCAAATTAATTTCAAACTTAATCCCAAGTGATACATGGGGACACCAACCAGTATCATAAAAATCAATGTTACATTTCAAACTTTTACAACATATTTAAATTTGTATAACCCATGTTACATTTCACATGATACATCACACACACCCCACCACCAAAAAAAAACATACAAAAAAAACCAGAAAATTTAAGACAAAAAGAAAAATCAGCTCCAAAATTCTCGATTTTTAATAGAATATTGGGTACCCAAGCTAGACGTATCGTCCTCATCATCATGGTCCAAAGACCATTTCTCAAATGTACAATTGACAAAGTCATAGTAGCCACCATGAATGACTAGCTGCTTTTGAACCACCTTGTTCTTTATCCAAGGGTATGTGAGCAAATTCAACAGCGAGCGGTTGATCGATTCCTGGAAACCAAATATTACACGATAAAAAAGTTTAGATCTAGTATAGGTCTCAACCTTAATGGTCATGACACCACGGGTGACACCGCAAGTGTCCCACCCGCGTGAATAGACAACAAATGTGCGTGATTGTTGCTGATAATCTCAACCTTGGTGTCATTAATCTCAAATCGTAGGTCGAAAGCCACTAAATAGAAATGAGAAACTGAGAAAATGCACAATGCATAGATAACAACTGGTTTTTCAATTGTGAGGCTTAGACTAGCATTTCTTGCTCCAATGGTTAGTGTTGTGTATGAATACATTAAGCAATATAATGAAACAAACTAAGACTTCACCACAAAACGGTTTGGGCATCTATATGTCCAAAGAAAGCATTTTTACAACGGTTTAGTGATTATATGCATTGATTAACCACTGCCCTCTGGGCAGAGGTTGAAGTAGTAATGATAAAAATTTGTCAATGATTTAAGTTAATCATTGTCATTTAACTTGTCCTTAAGTCTTAACAATGGCTTGCAAAACCATTGTTAAAAAGATGGATGAGTAAAAAGACTTGCATTGTCATGGTTACGCAATAGTTTGAAATAAAATATAAAAATTTAACCTTCTCACAATGCCTGCACTGTAGATCAAATGTGAGTTTGGAGGCAACAGCCTTGGTTTTCAACCTTGCAGTCTTCCCAACCGCAACCCAACTATGAAGAAAGCCACTGTAAAGTATATGTAAAGGATGATTTTAAGATTTTGTTTTAAATATATGGGGAAATGTTTGGTGAGAGAAAGAAAGCGAGATAGACCTAGAACTCATCCCATCTTCCTCCATACTCATTAAGGCTTGGATGCCTCCGCAACAGCTGTGGCCAACAACTAATATATTTTCTACCTGCAAAGACCATCCCAGGCTTTGTAACATATACAAGTCACCAAAACTGTACCAACCAACCAAAAACAAACGATTTCTCCCCAATTTTTACAAGATTGAACACAGAATAAGGAAATATAGAATGTTCCAGAAAACAGTGACTCACGTTGAGAGAGTTAACAGCAAATTCAAGAGCAGCATTAACTTCTGTGGGGCCATTCTGCACAACACAAAACAGTCTCATGCAAACTTACGGAGTATTTCACAATGGATGCATCGTTTGATAAAGTCAACTATATTGGGAATTAACCTACATATCACCCACCAACAAACCATATAAGAAATGAACTTTGTAATCTGATTGCCAAGTGTTCAAGTTGAGAATTGAGATTCATATGCCTACTGTTATGCGTTGCAGAGTTGTTTAAATAAAAATTCCTTACCTCATAATGAGGAACCAAATTTGCCACATTGCGTATCACAAAAGCCTCTCCCGGTTCAAACCCTAGGACACTTGAGGGGCAAACCCGAGAGTCAGCACAAGCAATCACCATAAACTGTCATCATAGTAATGATAATCTCAGGAACCATAAAATAAGGCAAATAACTGACACTCAATAATCCATGTGGATGTGTTAAAAACACGGAAAATAAGACAAATAACTGATACTCCATAATCGCTATATGCAATAGGTAGGCTAGAAAATAGAGTAAAAATTGTAAAGGAAACAAATTAGGGCAAGATTTAAATTGGATTAAACTCAACGAAGTAAAATTTGGTTATCTGCTCATACTCATATTCTTTATGTCAATTGCATAAATACAATCAATACAAATATATGTAAAAAAAGACCAAATTCATATTCTTTGTTTATTTTTCAACGTAAAGCCAAACATAAATAAAACACTTTTCATTGTCATTTTTTCCTTTCTCATAAAATTAACCACATTCCAAAGATAGCCTATAATGGAAGAGAGATTCTCAAGAGCTTCATAAGGAAAAAACAAAATACCTTTGGTGCCTGAGCTTTGGCAAGGGCCTTGAAATGTTCCAAGTCAGCCCTATTTTCCCACCAAAAAAGAGACACAAAAAAAATCAGAATTGCTGGCATTTATTAGAAATAGGAACATGAAAAAACATGAAAAATAAGATTACATGCTCACATGTATTTATCTTTTTTGAAGCTTAAAAAACGATGCTTCATCTCAGAGAACAGATCAGAGCCGGTTTTAGTCAAAACACCATTTTTCTGCTTGCAATCCACAATTTCATGCACCAAGCTCGTATGCTCCCTTGAGGCTTTCAATCTTAAAGCTGCATTACTCCTGCACCTCAAAGTAAATTTCCTCAGATCAGCACAAACACACACACAAAGAGACATGCCCAGACTTAAAACTTGAGTGTGGGCCTATATATTGCATTTATAAATATAAAGGAAATTCTCTCGTGCGGACAAACGTTAATAGGTTGTACAATGTGCTACAAAGTGAAATTAAAGCTTTAACTGATAGCACAGTATACATTGGGTGTGTACCAATGCCCATACACATTCACTATACCCCACACAACAAACCCATTACCCAATACACACACAGACTCCCAAACCACTACCATACACATACCTATACAATTACAGATACATGTGTGTGCATGCACGCACATCCATTGCTATCACAGCAAAAACAATCATTTTTGACAATTTAGTTGTTTTTGGAGAAATAGTGAAATAAATTAAATTGGCACATTAAAAT